AGAAAGAAAGAAAGAAAGAAAGAAAGAAAGAAAGAAAGAAAGAAAGAAAGAAAGAAAGAAAGAAAGAAAGAAAGAAAGAAAGAAAGAAAGAAAGACTCGTTTACAAAACACCAAAGCACAGGCCTCCCTTTAATTCTCATGTTCCGGAGCCGACGCTGATACGAGCTCCCCCTGTATTTTTTTTAATGTGGTTGTTTGGGTTGGAGGGCTCTGCTCTGAATGTTTTTGGAATACATTCACCATAGATCCTTAAATATCTTCCTTCTGAAAACAAAAAACAATTAGAACCCAATATAGATCCTCTGTTTCCAGGACAAAATGGATTTGCATGTTTCTGGCATTAATAATCCGTGTGGTTGCATTGCTTCCTTTCAGCATTAGAAAGTCTTGTGTGATGCAGGCAGAATATTTCAGCTGCAGAAAGCGCTGCTGTTCAGAGGCCCGGGGTAGGTCCAGGGCAGCAGGAAGGAGCCGGGGGCTCGGGCGCACTCGCTGCTGGCACAAGCTCAAGGACGGCCCTGCCGCTGCAGCGGGAGCGCTGACGTCCCCCAGGTCCCCGCGACGCCAGCCAGCGCTGCGCGGGGACGTGGCCAGCACAGGGCTCCTCTCCCAGCGCTACCTCCACGGCCAGGACGGGACGGATTAAGAGCTATCCGTAGGCAAAGCAGGCTGTAAGGAGAGGCGTTTTATTCTAGCAGTGGTCTTCGCCTCCTGGGCCTCCTAAATGGGGATTTGAGGATAAGAATCCAGGTAGAAGTGTCTGTGAGGAGAAGCAAGAAGCCAAACTGCAAAGTTAAAAAGAAATCAGGAGGCTGCCACAGGAGAGACAGTAGGGGGAAACAAGGAGATGACATGGTAACTAAAAGGAAAGAACAGAAGGTTTTAAGGGAAATGCACAGCCTGGTCCCTGCACAGACGTTGCCCCAGTTGCTTGGGGCTGATTTAAGGACCGTAGGCACTGAGAGCCGCGCTAGGTTTAGGGGTGAGCGCGGGGGCTTCAGCAGAGGCAGCCCCACCGAGCAGCGGGTCGCCCTCGCGGCCTCGGGAGCTGCAAGCAGCTCTCCAAGGAAAAGCACCAACACGGCAACGTCTCCCGCGGCTCCTGCCGCACTCAGGCCAGGCTCTCCACGCAGCAGCAACAGGAGGGAATCTGTCCTGCTCGCTGGCCGTGCTCCGCGCTGCGGTGCGTGGTGGGGCTGGGTGCTGCCGCGGGGCTGCTGGCACCCTGAGGTGCTCACCAAGGCCCATCGCGGCGCCCGTGGGCCGTTCTGGCTCTCGCCTGGACACCGGGCATGGGAACCTGCTCGGCGTCCTCCTCTGACCCGCCTGCTTTCAGAACTCTGCATCCTATCAGCCAACCTCTCCGTTTCCAGCCACCTCTCCCTTATCCAAGGAGATGAACCTTTCCCTGCTCAACCCATCCAAATAGCTGACAAATGTTCCTGCTAAGAAAGGCAGACCACAAAAACACAAGAATTATGTGGAATTACAGAACAAAACTTGTCAAGCGGTGATGGGCTAAAATCAGCCCCGAAGCTACCAGATGGACACCAGGGATCCGTTTGTTTCTGTGCGCTCCAGTATTATTAAGGGATGTCAGCAGCTCCTCAGGGTGCAAAGGGTGCAGATGGCACAACTGGCACGTTAGCTGAGCCACAGCTGGAGCAACACGAGCCTCACGCTGCAGGAGGAGGGTCTGGACCTCACGGGTTAAGCAGGAGCTGCACATCTAACTCTCTACCCATTCCTTGTAAAATTCAGACTCCAGACAGGAGAGAGCCAAAGCTTTAACATGATCTGCCTGAGAAGAATAACTGTCCACGCTCGTGCCAAACACTGATGGCTGATAAATCCTCTGTGGGGCGTATGTGGGGGCATGCGGTGGGGAGCACAGGACAGATGCCTGCAAGAGCGCTGCGGTGGAGCCGGCGGCCGCTCCCGGGGAGCTGCTCACGACACCCCGTGCGCAGCCCTCGCCTTGGTGGGACTGAGCTCCCCCCGTGCAGGGCAACGAGAACAGCCCCCCTGGCCCCCGGCGCAGCCAGGCACCCCCAGCGCCTCGTCCCCACGGCTGGAAGGCGCCTTCTGTGCTGTCCCTGCAGCCGCCGAGAGCCACGGAGGGGCTGAGGCGGGAAGGGAGCTCTAGGGATCACCACGCGGGACCCTCTGCAGCTGCTCCTGCCACCGGGGCTGCCACGATGCCCTCGAGGGCAAGCTGCAGCTGGGGACAGGGAGCCGGGCGCCGCAGCGAGCGCTGCCTTCGCAAACCGCTGCATCCCGTGGAGGCTGCAAGAGCGGCGCCTGTCCCCGCAAACATGCGATGCACACGCGCCCGCGCCGGGTTCGTTGCGAGAGAAGCGTCAAGAGGATCATTTCATT